CCGCAGCTGAGGTAGACGGTGTGATTTTTGAACAGGATCTCGAGGGCTTCACGGGCGACTTGACGGTTGAGGAGGAAGTATTTGTGGCGGGTTATGAGGAGGATGGCAGCAGCGCTGGGTTTGAAATATTTCAGGTGACGTCGCTCAATCGCCCGGTCAACGCTGAACTCTTGCGCAGCGAAAGTATAGTCATATATCTATATTGCCGTCAGCCTAAGATCCGATGTAGTGGCGGCAGAAATGCGTACCTGATCCCGCAGCTCTCGTGGAAGCCTGAGGAAGGGGAAAACATGCGATGGCACGGCGTCCTCACGTTCAACATGCTCAGCATCAACAGGCACGGCGGATGTGGCGTCCATGGTGCCTGCTCACAATTCACGCGTGCTTTTCGTGTTGCGAACCAGGCTTTGCCCCGCAGCGCTATCTGCATCGTGACGATCTTCACGTGATTGTGGTGGTCGCTTCGCATCCCCGCCCGCATTTGCCCATCCCTGTCGTGTGGCGAGGCCGCGGCGCAGCTAGCACCTGGATCAGGCAGGCGCTTGACATGTCCCATGGATGAACGGGCCGATTCCTGTCTGTAATGACCGTCATCTTCGTAGCGTATCCGTACTGTCGGGTTGGCAGCAAATCGCGAGGCCAGGCACGTAGAAATACCTTGGGTACTGTGTAGAGTCTTCGAGGTTTACTCATCTCGTGCCAACATCGTACGGTAATCGTGCCTGAGGCATTTTTGCTACCCAATGCCACCCAAATCGATCGAGGTACAGTCATCTTAGGCTTCGGTTGGTACCGAGGCGAAATGCTTGCGCTGGTAGTTGCACTACTTCGAGGTAAACCTCCGTTCAACAACCATACTGCTCCGGTAGTCATGACCGAGATGAGCTTTCAGTGTAACTGCAATCTACGAGTAACCGTTGCAGCGCCGTTCGGATCCGGCAATTACAACTATATTGCCTTCAGGTACGCGACCGCTGCTGTGCTGCCGAGCTTCAGGGGCCTTGCAGCCGGAATGTCACCAAGCCTCAGATCATCGGAGCATGTCACTGCAATGTCCGTCTAATGATGTACTGCAAGGGAGGCACGGGAGCCTTACCGACTGGTCTTGTCTGCCGATAGACTTTGAGCGCGTAACGACCCACCTGGGGTAGTCCTGCATTGTGTTACGGTCCGCGCCCCAACAGTTCCACTTACCAACGGATACCAACTGCTGGCAGGTTGACGCGTCCGAGTACAACATCTGTCCTTCAAGCCTGCTTTTGGAGGTAGCTGGCGTGCTGATAACGTGTCGCGCCTGTGCAACGTAGAGGCACGCGCTTTCGATGATGCATGTCCATCGGTGGCTTGGATCGAACAACGACATTGACAGACACAAAACCTGAATCATGTATGTTGTTTGAGAGCACAAGAAACTGTTCGTTCCTGGTATGGTCCACGTTCACAGCAACATGGAAACCATCGCCTGGGCACTGCCCCAAAAGCGTGCCATACAAGCTGCAGACACAACAGCATGTAAGCCTTATATCTCTTACAGCCTAACAATGCTGTGACCATAACTAAGCCTTCCAGATCTTTCGATGCAGAGTTGAACCATGGAAGCAGACGAACACCCATGTTGTTGAGCTCACAAGCCGACGGCCCTGAACGTGGTGAATGGTAAGTTCTGCAAACTTGAATTACGGTTGGCTTGACCGTGGATTCATGTGGGATCCGGAGTTGGCTCCTCAGCCACCGTTGCTCGATCAGAGCACTGGAGGACCAAACATGCACTGGCACCTGACACAAGACCGTTACGTTGTAAACCTGGTCGTCGGGTCTGCGTGTGGTAGCACCGCCAGACCGAGTACAGTGCGAGGAGGCGGCGATACCGCCATGTGGTGTAGAGTAGCTTGACCGGCTTGGACCGACTACGTGATACTGATCCAAAGGATGCGTAGAGATGGACATGTTTCGGCAGCAGTTGCCGTCTGCAGTCCAGTTTCAATGGTCATAATCGTTCTAGGCAGACACATTCCAAGTAGGTTAGCCGATCGTGTGCCCCGATGACTACGCCGATGTGATCCTTTGTCTGAGACAACACCGCGGTCGTGGTGGGTGATCGTAGAGCCATGAATGAAGTTGGTTATTACTGTGACGAGTTGAATCGCTGATATGGTTCAGGGCTTCCAATGGCGGCTACAAAGAACATGGAACTCACAGTTCAACAATAATCGATGGAAGATTGCTGTACAGAGGCTGGTCGTCCGAGATAGCAGCGACGTCGATGCTCACATGGTGTCCCGTGTAACCTGGTCGATGGATGCGGGTTCCAAGGGTTCAGCATCATGTGCATTGCAGGTTCCAAGAAGCAGAAGTAGGGATGAACGTAACGGTCACAGACGATCTGCCATGTCGACCAAAGAGCGATGGAGTAAAAGTGGACAGGAGCAAGGGGTGGGTTTATTACCAAGGGTACAGAGGAGGCACAGCGCCTGTGTGACCGCGGAGGATAATTGGCAGGGCAAAAGAGGCTATGGGCGGCGGGAGTTCTGGCAGAAGTCGGGCCAGGAGGACTGGTTAATGGAGCGGGATGATTGCCATGCGGGAAGCAGGGTTCGGGAGCGCCGTGCCCTGCAGACTTGTGAAGCTCAGTGCATCAGTGCATCCATCGGAACAAAGCGACGATGGGGGCAGTGTCGGTGGCCCCGGAGACGCGAAGTGTGGATATGTTCAGTAGTGGTTCTGTACCGTGGTCTCGCACAGCGCTAGCCGGCCAAGTATGGCCATGTTGTTTGGCATGGGCACGGGCTAAGGCGACTACTGCATGCCGGCAGCGAATGCAGGCTACAGAAGGATGCGCGCGCTGCAGGCGGCCATGAGGGATCGGCGCAGGAGGACAGCGTCGCAGAATTTGCTTTTGCTCGGCGCTTTGGCCGGTTGGGTAGCAGGCGTGGAGGGCTAGTGACCTCGTGGCGGTACAGCGGGCGGCGGGATAGCAACACGGGTTTGGCTAAAGTGACGACAAACTACAAGGCCCTGCCATGCTCGCCGCCCGTGTCTGCTGCTCGCGGGGCTCAGGATGCCGTGCCTGCGCATGCGTCTGCTCTGCACGCTGGAGCGGAACGAACCTCTGGCTGCCACAGCCGGGCGGAGTGGCCCCTCGCGGGTCGGTGGTGGCAGAGGGAATTGCTGTCATGGGCACCGCCATATGACAAGTGCACCAGTTCGCGCGCGGAGGCAGGGAGCCCATATTAAGTGCAGCTAGCCGCCGCTAGACGGGCAGCTTAAGATACACGAGGCCTCGATTGAACGATTTCCCACGTGCGGCCGGCTCACCTCTGGGCACCACCATATCCATTAATTGGCTGGCTCCCTGGCTGCCCTTGCGACTCGTCAAGACTCAACCGTCGCCTCTAGCTTTCTGTTGCGCCGCACCTCCTCCACTTTCCAGAGGTCCCTTCCCAACGTCGTACGACGTCCCTACGGCTAGACCGCCGGCTGCCCGCTGCTTTGTTGTGCTCCTTGCTGCCCTCCGCCCCAGGACATGTACTCGACCCGGTAGTCTGCTGACTGCTGCTCTCCTTCCCCACGCGCGCAAACCAGAGTCTCTCGACTTTGTCCTCGTCGCCGTGTCAACTGGTACCATCTCGACCCACCACGCCCCAGAGCCGCCCCAGCTGGCCAATTCTCACCACGACGCCTCGCTCGACGCCCACGTCGTGCACTCGTCTTTTAGGGCGCCTCCATCGTGTCAATTCCAGATCCCGCCCTCTGGACGCCGTGTCCCATCTGGCCTGGGCAAAGGCACCTTTGTATTGTCCCTGCTGCAGCATCCGCCGACTAGGGAGAGCACGGCAGCCGCATCTCCAGCTCTCGTGGAGTTTTTGCCAGGAACCTTGTTTGCTTTTGTCTCGACTCGTACCGCCAAAAGAAGTCATTGACGCCGGGCACCCTCGCAGCTGCCACTCCTGCAAGACACGGCCATCGCTCCTGCCCTTCTCGCGGTAATCGGCGTGGATCGTTACCTTGCGCTTGCCATTAGAGTTGGGACGGTCTTGGCGCTCCATTCGTCGTGCCCCACTTCAACCCAACTGCCATCTTTACTTTCAGGGAGGAACGAACCATATCCCGTGCGGCCTCGCTGCCCGTTACCCTTACCACGCCCTGCATCCCTCTTCCACTCCACGCCCCGGCCACTACCCTTACCCAAGCTTCCCTTCCCGGAACTCGGCCCTCTTTTACTCTTACTTCCCCATCTTTCCCACCTGGCCCATCTACGATTGCCGAAAGTGACCAAAACCACTTGCTCTGGCAAACGTCATTATTCCGCGCCTCACTGGCTCCACTATCTCACCCGTTTGAGTGTGGACATCATCACGAGCCCAAAGCCCTCTCGCTACCACTAACGGCGGGCACGCACGACTATTTTATAAGGTACCTCGTGCGCCGCCTCCATATCCATGAACTCTGTTTCTCAGCGTACCACGCCGCACGGAAACATGTCGCAGAACAACATGCAAAACAACATCACTCAGGGCCAGCAATCTCTGCCGCCACTGTCCTCACTCACCAACCGTCTACCTACGGCTGAGCCGACCCCGGCACAGCCCAGGCAGCACTCAGAAGCACGCGAGGTTCGCGACTCAGGCAATTGGTCTCTTGCCCAAAGCAAGCGTGAGTTCTCACGATACCTATCATCTGCACGTTGTTGACACGCTTTGTAGATTCATCAACTATGTCCCAGTCCTTGGGACTACACGTGCAAACACTACTCAATCCTTCCGATGATTCCCCATCAAGAAGTTCGATACCCGAGACGCCATCATCGGCGAGGTATCCATCTGGCCTCTCCCAGTCGTCTCAGGTACGCATTTTATGATCGCCTATAAACTCGTCTAACATAGCAGTAGCATGGTGTTCTACCTCCGCTCAACCAAGGGTTCGACAGCCGGCTCAGTATCGATGCCGGCTCTCATTTCGACTCTCGACGCAGCAGCGTAGACAGTCGGATGAACGCTACCATGGGTCATCTATCCATTCACCCGCAGTCACCATACGAGAGCCAAAATGCGTCCCGAGTCTCGCTTGTCTCGAACCTCCAGCAGCAACGCGGCATCACAAATCCTGATTCGCGCCCTAACGGCACTTCTCCTCTGTCACCTAATCGTGCTGCTCCGCGTGCCAACCATCCCCCTCGACGCGCTCCGGTCATTAATCCCAACCCCAGGAGCGTGTCTGGCATGCCGGACCCCATGGCGGCGGCTCCAACTAAGGGTTTTGCTTGGGCGTTTCCCGCAGATGATTACGACCACGAAGAGAAGAGGACGTCTAGCAGCGGCGAGTCTAGCGTAGACCGATCCAACGCCCCTTCGCGTCAAGGCAGCTTCGCGACGTCGGTCAATAGCAGCATCTTCACCACAGACTCCAAGCTACCACCCGGTCAACAACGACTGAACGATGGCACGCCTCCCTACTCTCATCCTTCATCAGACGTACTGACTAGTTCAGACATCCCTAGCACTCATCATCACTCCATGCAACATCGCAGCGTGACTAGCCTGCAGAATGTTGATCCCACCAACCCGCTTGCGCCTGGGAGTGGAAGTTATAGCAGGACCCCTGAGCTTCGCGTCAGCCACAAGATGGCAGAGAGGAAGCGTCGTAGTGAGATGAAGAACCTGTTCGACGATCTCAATGGCATCCTTCCCAACAGCCCAGGCAGCAAGTCATCCAAGTGGGAGATTCTCACCAAGGGTAAGTTCACTCATGAATCGCTATATACGTTTGACTGACGTGTCTTTAGCTATTGAATACGTCACCAGCCTGACCCGCGCACATCAAAGCGCTCGCGAAGAGATCAGCCGCTTGCGACCTGATGCAGAATACTGTCGTCGGGCCCAGGAGGAGAACGAGCTCCTCCGAGCAGAATTGAACGCCGTGTGGAACGCTCTCCGTCGCGTCGATCCATCCAACTCTCATGTCTACGGAAGTATGACAGGCCAGTTCGCACAAGGACAACCCGCAACTCCTGCGTCCGGAACCAACGTCCTTCCACCGTTACAGCAGCAGCAACAGCAGCAGCAACAGCAACAGCAAGGGCTCTCGCAACAGCCACCACCATCGCAGGCTCAGTGGGGACCACCGCCGCATGGAGGCTCTATGCAGGGACCGATGCAAGGCGTCGAGTTTGGCGGTATGCGGCCCTACGAGCACCCTCACCGTTGAAGCAACCCTTCTTCACATCACTGTCGTCTTGCATGAGCAACGCGGCTGCTCAAGCCACTCGAGTCTTGACCTTCACTGGACTGTATTTCTGGGTCTCTTTTCCGCCTTACATCGTGAGGCTTCACTTCAGCGTTTTCTGTTTATTACTTCTACACCAACGGACGGGTACACGGTTTAGCCGACTCTGTTCGGACCTAGGACTAGCTGTCCCACCAACAACGGTTTCAATTATCTACCGGCTTTGTTTCACGACCTTTCAGCATCGAATGTATTATGACACGATCCTGTGCGACATCATCGGCATACTCGACACCCCTAGAGGGTCTTTCCTTTGTTCACCTACCGGATCGTAGGACGGCGTTATATGGAGCGGCTTACACCTTTGGAGTGAGAGGGCAAGGAAAGCTTCTCGGAGAAAGGTCGGGAAAAAAAGTATATGTCATGAATCACTAAATCGGTGAATCGGGTTCCTCATGTCGGCTCCAAGAGTGGGATCTTCGGCCATAGCAGGCGTACGGTTGGGCTTTGGGTCATTCTCCAGCGATTAATCAGTCTTTCAGTCGGATTTGGCTTCATCACTGCATGTAACCCGGGACTTTGGTCCCCGTCCCCGCCATCGTTCTACACGTGGACATGTATCTGCAACCAAGGAGGACCATGTTTCTCAAACATGCATTAACAGCTATTAGCGGGGGACCTACCACAAATTCTTAAACATGGATCGTCGCTGCAGGTTTGCGCGACCGAACTATACCCACACACCCTCTCTCGCTATCGCTCACTGCACTTGTACTGTTGTTGATGGAGTGTATTGGAGATTCCAAATCCCCGGGTCGTCACGCACGCCTCTTGCCGGATCTTGCCGACACGTGTAAGCATGGCTGCCTGACATATTGCAGTTAAGTTTCACTGATGGTGCTGTCGTTGTTTCGATGATCTGTTGTTCTGACTGACAGGCGACGGAAGGCTGTTTGCCGCTGTACTAATGACTCGTATCTCGTCAATATTCCCCGATCCCCCATCATCCCCTTTATCTTTGCGCGCCATGCTGTTCTTCAACATACGCTTGACTAATTCGCTTTCGCTTGTTCATGAACTACCACAAAGTTTAGGTCTACATCAACACAGCCACGTTCATACACTAGATATTCTGCAACGTGCAATGTTTGCGCGTGGTGGCGTGGCGCGGCGTGGTAGTTCTCTTGGTTGCTTGGTTTCTCGGTGAGTTTGACATTGGCGGGGGGTTGGCATTCGATGGAAGGAGCAGGTGGAGTGCACTTCGTTCGACACGAGGTTCATAACTGCGCCGCAGCACGTGGGTTTCGGGATGTGGAGTGCAGTTCTGCCATGTGGAGAGTACCTCTTTGGACATGACTTGACACACTTGACATGACTTGTAGCTATAGGATAGGCAAAAGGGTGCTGGAGTGCACATGTGTCAGGTAGCCGCGAGGTAAATTACAGTTTGAGAGCTAGACTGAATCATGTTAGTGCGCGGTCGGTAGGGAATGCCGAAGCCCTGAAGTGGCAGTGTGCGCGACGGCTAGGGCAAAAGGCAAAGTGAGTTTTCCGTAGACCTGGTGTGGCTGGTGACGGTGGGGTGGTAAGTTTGGAGTGGGGGGGAAATGGGGACTTGGTGTGTATATCTGTCTTGCTTGTGGTGATCGGTGTTGATCTAGGGGCTACGGTGTTTTCTAGGAGAATTATCTAGGTCCGAGATAGAGTCATGTTTTGTCTTGACTTAGAATGGTGATGTGATCCATATACACAGTTTGTCTGAGGCGCATGCTGTAGTCACTAGACTGATTGGAGTAGTATAAAGGCGAGGATCACAGCACGGAAAGCTCGATGGGACAGTTCACATCATGACATTAACTAGTAGATGACGAATTAAATGCGAAGAACAAAAGGCGATCGCAAGACGCCGGAAGGGTATAATTAAAATGTACAATCTAACCATCATCATAGAAGAAATCTCTTCAGAGGAGTTCGAGATAAAAACATTACACTACCCACGATGCAAGATAGTATCCAACGGGTTCTTGGGTTCACCAATTGTTTCCTTTTGCACCTGTTTCTTCTGCTTCTTCGTCATGAGGCCCTTGGCCTTGATACCGCGTTCTTTTCGTAGTTTCTTGAGCGCCTCTTCCGTCATTTCTTGACGGAGGATTTGTTCTACTACGAGCTTCTTGCGACTGCGCTTGTCGCCGCGGCCGATGATGATGCCCGCGGTGATGTTGCATGTTAGACTGCAACTTAGTATGATGGCGGTAACTTCCTTGGGGCGGTCTTTGTAGTAGATACCCCAGGTGGTACCTCCCAGTGCGCATTGGAACATGGAGTGGAAGTCGAGAAGGACGATGATGGTGATGAGGAGGCGGATGGAAAAGGCGTGGTGGGTGTATGTCTCGTGGGGCCGATAGAAGGTATGTGACTTCTCCAGCTTGCCTTGGTGGTGCTCGAGTTTCTTCTGCTCTTCGGCGGTGAGAACGGGGGCCTCGACGCCTTCTTGTTCTGCTTCGCCTGTTTCCCAAGCGTTGGATCGCGGCATGGTCGGTAGTTCGTTGTGGTCTTTCAACTCTTGTAGTCCTCGTTCTTTGCGTAGCCGCCAGGTCTTGTGCGCGTAGTAAGCGACGAAGGCCATGTGGTATGTGTCGACGATGCGGAAGGGAAACATGGTGATTCCAACAACACAGAACAGGGCAGTAAGGACCTGATCAGCAATCTCGACAAAGTATGCCTGACGATCACCAACGTAAATCCAGCCGATGAGGAAGAGTACCCATGCTGCTCCCCAGAAGGTAATAAGGAAGAAGTACAACGTGACGAGGAAGCCGAGTGGGTTGCGAACGTAACGTCCGAAGCCCTTCATAGTCCGCTTGAACCTTGCGCGTCGAGAGTGGAGGAGATGTCGGACATGGTCGTCCAGAGCTTCCTTCTCCTCGTCGGTCCATCCTGTCAATGAAGCACCATGTGGCAGTACGGCGTAGTGATGGCCAGCACCTTCCTCCAGAGTCGAAAGATTGGAGTCGATAGTGTTGTTTCTTCGCAATTCTCCGCGGCCTCCGCGCGCGGCTTGTTCTACTTCGCCTTGTTGTGTCATCTCAGGGAGTTGATCTTCCTCGCGTCTGGCCCCTCTAGCTGTGCCCATCTCTTCGTCCGAGGAGTCTGATGACGTCTGCCCAAGATCGTATGTGGGCTGGCGGTTATAGAGCCAGGGTAGATTGGGTAAGAAGAGCGAGTTCTGAACGTTATTCAGCGTAGTGAGGGCCGATATCTCGGGGTCTAGACTTTGTTAGCTGATATCTCAATGTAAAATACTCTGGGGTTACTGACCGATGACATCAAGCACATCGACAACATTGTGGCCCATCATGTTCTGGTTTGGGTCCTTCTGATGCCGCCGCATGTGGAAAGCGGAGGACTGACGAGTCATGCCTCTTCGTGCATTGCTGGCAGCCGGCGGACCGTTGCCGATAGCAGGGTTTGCCGTCGCGGTGCCATCTTCATATAGAGGCTGTAGATGAGGGCCTGTTAATTGACGCCTTAGGCTATCGTCGGCGACCATGGCGGCTGGAGGTGGGCGCGGTTCAGAACTACTTCGTCTTCGGCCGGCTTGCCATGTGCTGTCGGATCCCGGTACTGCCGCTGGGTCAGGTGTGGGTTGGGGAGTATTTACGCTTGGCTGATGTGAGGGTCTTCTTATGCGAATCGACGAACTGCGCAGGCGCTGGATAGGATTTGAGGTAGGCGCGTGTGGTTGGGAGGGTTGAGTGGACGGCATGTGGGTCGTTGTGGTGACGGCAGGGTGTGTGGTAGTGGTCGACTGGGGCCCAAAATGGTGCACGCTCGTTCCCTGTCCGGGTGCGGTGGATGTCGTGGTGGTGGTAGTGTAGGGGCCAGAGGTAGTGGTGGTCGAAGTTGACGACGACGCCAACGGTCGTCCCTGCTCGTGTGGGCCTTGATCCATAACTGCAGCGGTTGCGACGAGAGAGCCCCAGGAAAGGAAGCAGTTTGGGCGAGAGTGCGGCGTTGGGGTCAAGTAGTGTCTTGCTAAGCGTGCAGCGAGCGATCCGGCCGCGACCGACGCAATTAGTTCATTGTTCAGTCAGCAGCGTGTCTCCGCAATCCCTCGTGAGAACAGGGTTAGAAGCGCGCCGTGATAGGAAAGCGGCGCGTTGGCACGGCGATAATAACGGGTTTGAGGAATAGGAGCGTGAGAGGGGTCTTGGAAAACACAGTCAAGCTTTCCTTGCACGCGCGGGTTGTCAACCAGCCGCGTGGTAGTGCTTCGGCTAGGGCGGCTTCGTTGAGGATCCGAGTGGCTGCATGCCATCCCTCCAGCAATCAGCTCTGACGTCATACCTCATGTTTCTTCAACTGCAGACATATCTGGGGTTGCTGACGCCTGCATGAGAAGGATGGACTAAGCATGGCTGACGCCCAATGCTTGATCATATGAGCCCTGCACGTCGCTGTCGCTGCAGCCACAGTCTCTGCAGAGGAGCCACCAAGAAGAAATTAGTCGCATTGCGCAGACTCTGCCAGTTGTGCGCAGAAACAGTGGGCTTTGGAGACATGCATTATTGTTATGCCACCCTGGTCGAACTCAACAAATGTCAAATGTCGCTTGCAGGCCGGTTTGGGGGAGCAGCGTCTGGACTCACAGCCACAGGGCTGAAACACGGCCCAGCTGGTCGCGCCTAGGCCAGCGTTGACGTAGCTGTGGATCCCAGCTGCGCATCCGTACCTGAGCCATGATGCCTTCCGACATCCACAATAAGTTATACCCATAGCAACCTTATCGCATTCATCTCTCCAAAATGAAAGCGGCACGCGCCCTTGTTCCAGCCTTCCTGGCAGCCAGCCGCGTCGCTGCCATGCCGCAGCGCAGCGCGCCGCAACAAGCTATACTCGACGCGTCGACGAAGCATCTCGCCAAACCACTTGGTGTAGGCCACTTCAGCGAATGGAGCCGTGCCACAAAGAAGGAGTTTTTG